ACAGACAGGCTGATCGATATATCCCCTGTATTATATGCCGGGGGGATAAAAAGTAAGTGTATGACCTGTTGCCAACTTCTATCCCTGCCCTAAGGAAGAGTTTGGCCATTAACAATTTTTTTGTCTGGCTGTGACATTGACCTTTGACATTGACCTTTGACATAGCAGGTCAATGTGTTATTCCAAAGATGTCCAAGCAATGCATGGTTTCATACGATAACTGTGGCTATCAAACTGAGGCAAAATATTGGAAAATCCCCATTTACACAGCTGGCTAAAGAAACAAACAACAAACAAATTATCAATTTCTTTTATTTATATACATATATCACACATTGAACAGTGTTCACATAATGGTTCCTGATGCAGTATGCACTTTCCTCCTATTCTTCAATACTCATAACAGAGCGGGATAACTGTTCGCTTGAAAGCATCAGCAGACCATGCTCACCAGTTCAGAGTTACTTGCCCTCAAACATCCTTTTCCTTCTATATTGCCATGGAAAAACAGGAACCAGGATGAGGGGAGGCCAGATGGGCTCTATCCCTGTTGCATTGTGTTTGTAGAATTGTGAACATTCTATTTGGTCCACATTTATAGACAAGTAGTCGCAAACATCATTCCTTTCAAGTGATTACCACATGACCAAAGACAATAATTTCTTCAACGTCCTTGAAGGGTCCCACTCCGACTTGGCATTGGTTGGTCTTCTCACATTAGCCTGACCACCCTTTGGGAGTGTGTCCCAGTGTCAATTGGCATATAACTTCTCGGTAGGCTCCCATTGAAATAACAGGACTCTCCTCATCGCTGTCTGCCAATCACTTCGGATATCTGGAAGGGTCCTTCCAGACTGTCAACCTGTCATCTGGGTATCTCAAGCTGGACTTCAGTTTCTGCAAAATTATGTATAAAGATTGTAGCAAAAGAAAAGAATTGTTGCAACATGTACTTACAGATAAAAGGCAGCAAATTCACTTAATTTATCATCTTTGAGTTTTGTTATATACCAAACATTTGAGATATATATTGTTCCATGCTGATGAGTTGAAACAATCATTAACTGACATCTCTTAAAAATGTTCCTAGCAACCTATGCTTGCCATACAAGCCAAAGTAATAGATGAGGTAGCAAGTGGGCTCATTGAAAGCTCGTAATCGTACCCAATAACGTGGGATGTTGTCCATAACAGTCATCATCGGTGCGTCTGGATCGAGCTCATAACATTAATCTCTGGTTTGTCTAGTTGAGATTTGAGATTTGATTAATTTATAATCCTTGTCATTTAGCCGAACTATTGCTGGATGTGGTGTTAAATGAGTGAATTGGGTTTAACGCCTCTTTGAACAGTATTCCAGTTATATTATATCACGGCATGTAAGCTTGATGTGGGAAGAAAGCCCGAAGTGATGCAGGTCTTACATGTTTACCACTTTGATGAAACCCACAAGCAAGTGTATGATGCTACCCTCGATTCAAACCCGCGACCATCGGTTTCTGTCAAGCCCAAGAGATGCAACTATGCACAGCAAGCTGTGGTTCCTTTAATAATTAGGCCATCCATGCAAACAGGTGATAAAGAACAAGCAAACTGAAGAAATATTTGCAGAATAGCTACATGAACATGATGAACCAAACAGAATAATTTCAAATATTTACCACTCACTACTCTTCTCTTGTTCCTCATTGCTTCCCTTTTTCCATTGATGCTGTGCAGATGACTGACTCATTCATTCATCCAGACATTCTGCAAACATAAGTAGCATTCACATTACAGAAATGTCCAAACTGTACATGCTGTACATTGAATTCAATTGAAAAGGCCCCAGTTGAGTTTCCAACTTAGAACATGTAGAACTGTCCTTATTAAAATATTTCATCCCAAACATTCAGAGATAAAACTTAACCCCATATTTAACAACTGTCAAACAATTATTTGACAACAAAGCCAGGGTCATTCAACATACACTTTACATAGGGAATCACTTGTTGCAAAAAAGATCCTCGCCAAGGTCAGAGTCATTCCATGAAATATTGAATTATTAAGTTATGAAGCTTATACAAAACAAGGACATAACAGTGTAATTATAACAATATCCTAAGCGTAAAAAAAATAAAGTCTTTGGTGGCCATTATTGTAAATTATAATCTGTATTAGCATCCCACGAAAGTTTAGAGTTAATAACCGTTCCTAGATCTTGGTACTTTTCTTCATTATCTATAAAAGAGCGGATCTAATTTGGTTCATCTTGTTTTGACCACAAATCCATTACGCCCCTTATGCTAACAAACAGTTGACCATAATACTAAAAAAAGGACCCTTGGCGTTTACGGTAAAGTATGTAGAGCAGGAAAATATCTACATCAATCCGTTCCATAAGATCTCTGCACAGAAATCATAAGGTCTCGAAGCCCTGCTACGTACCTGGCAATGCCAATCGCCTTTCCAAATACTGTTGACTTCCGCGTTGTGGATGGTTGAGAGGAACTTCGGCCGGCATTTCCGTGGTGGAGGTGAATGAGAACAATGTATCGATACACGAGGTAAGCTTATCGTAATCAAGCATCACAGTGTATATCGATACACGAGGTTTGTTTACATCCATGTTCTAAAATGGCGCCCTGGGCCCCGTTCCACAAAGCGATCTTAGGGCTAAGTTGATTGTAACTCACTAAGTACGCGATCTTAAATTTTTGTTACGATCGGCCGCCCGTTCCACAAAGCAATCTTAACTAAGAGAGTTGTAAGTTAAGATCAAAATGCTAAGTTGCTCCGGACCAACTTAGGATCGCTAAAATCGATCTTAAATAGTGTACCATAACAACAAAGATGGCGACTTTTATTATGATGTGCAAGGAAATGGACCGTGTCTTACACAAAGAAAGGGTTTTTAGAGACCGCACCCGGCAGCTGGATACGTTATCTGACGATGAACTGTATGCGCGATATCGTATGCCACGCCACGCCCTCTTGAAACTGCTCGAAGCAGTCTCTCCGTCCATTACACCAGCAACCCAGCGTTCACATTCCCTCTCCCCAGAAACGAAGTTACTCCTGACTTTGAGATATTTAAGCAAGGGTGGTTTTTTCGTTGAGTTGGGCGACCTTCACGGGACTGTGAAGTCAAGTGTGTCCCGGGTGTTTCACCCGACTGTAGACGCCATTTGCAACTCTATCAATAATATCTGTTTTGATCTTGACAATTTACGTAATGTGAAGCACGATTTTTATCGACTTGCCGGATTCCCCCGTGTCATCGGAGCCATAGGCGGGACACTAGTGCCGATCAGGAGGCCCCCTGCCGATGAGGAAGCAGCATACGTGTGCCGAAAGGGCTTCCATGCCATTAATGTGCAAGCCATTTGCGATGCAAACTTGAGGTAATTTATGCAGTGCCCCCTCCCCCATGCCAGAGAATAAAAAGAACACGCAAATGTATCAGAATAAAGACAAATGTGGCGATCAAGTCTGAGCCTATTTCTACTAATTTACTTCCTGTTTACATTAGAAACGACCTTGGCATTGTACCTCTCAGTAGACACGCCCATGATATCTATAAGCCAATAGGCAATAAGCAATTATTTAGTGGGGTACGTTTTGGGTTACTTAAGGATATCACACATGTAAAAGTCTTACTTTGTTGTGTAAAACAGTTATTTATTATAACCACTTGACATATGATTCAAATCAGTGTGACAGTGTTACACATCACATTAAAATAAAAAGGATGTAACTTATTGTCCATAGTATAAACCCTTCATAATGTCTGTATGTTGAAATATTGTCATCTGGGCTTTGTTCTTACTGTTTTCAGATTTACTAATGTTGTTACAAAATGGCCAGGCTCAGCCCATGATGCATCAATTCTAACCAACAGCTCCATTGGAGACCAGTTTAATAGGAATTGCCCTGATGGATTTCTTCTTGGAGACTCTGGGTAAATATTTGCAATAATATTTTTGGTATATTACACAATTGAATTTTTAAATATATTTTTTTTAAATGTGTTATTCAAATGAGTTTGACTGAACTTATAAAAACCTTTAACATACATCACAATATCTTAAGTTGATTGAAGCTGTGATTGTGAAAAGTAGTTTTGGCCTAGGTCACCTTATCGACAATGTGAGTAATATGTTTTGATAATGTTACAGTTATGGATGCAGACCATGGCTCCTAACACCTGTACTTGACCCAAAAACAAGACACGAAGAGCGTTACAACTCTTCACACTGCAGAACAAGAAACACCATTGAGAGAGCATTTGGAGTTCTAAAGTCAAGGTTCAGGTTGCAAAAAAATTCATAAATTGAATTTAATAAGCAGTTGTGAATTCGAATAAGTTCATGTATACTTTTGGCTATTTAAATGTTTCAATAATTTGAAATTTATTGATGATGAAGTTGAAGATTCATATGTAGTATTTTCAGTATAGATTTCTCCTCAGTTCATCGAAAATACATTAATTTCAAGTAATTCAGAAACACAACTAAATTTTCACATGCCTTTCTTCAACTTTGTTAAAAATATTTCTTTCATGTATAACAGATGTCTTCACAAATCTACGGGGTGCCTCCCATTTTCCACCAGCAAAAACTGTAAAGTGATCATGGCTGCGTTCAAGTTGCACAATTTCTGTATGGATCAGAAAGTGCCATTACCACAACTGCTGGAAGAAGACCAGGAAGCCCACGTCCTCTACCAGGGCAATGTTCAAGATGGACATCAGGCCAGAGCTCAGCTGATTGCTCATTATTTCTCATGAACTGTCTCTGATTCACAATTCTTGAGAACATTACAATAATGACAGGAACAAGTGTATATTCTGGATGTTTAATACAACTGATAAAAACATTTGAATTTCAAACTGTGTGTACTTGTGCAAATACAATTTTGTTTCATAATTAAACAGATGTTTTATTTTAATATATGAATACTGTCCATGCATTATTGTTTAAATGTAATGTCTAACACTCTTACAATACAACTGATATGACATCTATGTATGTGAGCCATTGACATCAGAATAAATCAAAACATTTCAGTTAACATTTTATTGTTGGTTTCATGACAACATTGTCTAGTGGCATATTACTTTCCAATTTTGTTTAAACATCATGAATTGTTGCCACAAACAATAGTATAGGTTTTCATTTAAATAACATCAGACTTACACATCTGCTAAATACTAATTAACAATAACAAAACTGCATGCTGCACTGCTATACCTTTTGTTTTTCAGATTATCTCCCCTGGGATAATGTGAATGATATTAAAACTTATATTTTAAGTAATATTCCATATTTTGTTAGTTTCATCGAAACAAAAAAGCATCTGAACATTTTTAGACACACATTTAAGATGTGGATAAAAGAAAGTTTTCAATTAAGTTTGATAGTTGGTGAAACACAATTGGAGGGGGATTGAGTAGTGTCAGGAAAAAAATCAAAAGATAAACTTCCAAATCTTCTCTCCTCCAGAGCTAATCTACGTTTTTCAATCTGTAGCCTTTCTCTCTCCAATGTCAACCTCTCTCTCTCCATCTCACACCTGTGTTGCTGGATTGAAACAAGCTCCCTTATTGCTGATAACTTGTTGGTCTCCAGATCAACAATTGTAAGGACTTGGTCCGCATGTTGTGTGGGTCGCTTCACACACTTCTTGCCTGGAATTAGGAGAAAGCTGACAACGACATTGAAAGGAATGATTTGGTAATACTTCCTCAGATGCTCTTAAAGTACATGCTCTATTTGTCTGTTTATGCAAAATAATATACTTTTTTATGTATATTACTTACTGTACTTAATGATCTTAGGATAATACTCTTATATTCATTTTTCACCACAATATTCACCTGCATGCACTGTTGTTTCAGTGATTGCTTCCTCACTAGGAAGGCTTGCAAGGACAGGCTCATCTGCCAATGTTGGTTCGACTGGCATGGTGACCCCACTTGTATCACTAGACGCTTTAAAATAAAGAGATTTTCTTGTTGTTAAAAATAAAACATTTAAATGAAATATTAAAAGCAAAATTCATACTCCTGTACAAATTAAGTACATGAACATATAATTCTTATGTTTAAGAGGATATAAGCATAACACACTCGTAGCTTTCAGCATTATAATGTTGTATTTTATTGTATTACCTTCACTAAGAAATGTTTCCAAACCTCCCTGGATGCCATCAACCTGACAGGCTGGAATCAGTGAGAGTACCTGTGATACCAATGAAATATTATTATTCAATATTACATCAGTCATAAGAACCATTACTTGATTTGCATATCCTTCATTGAAACATAATTATGTTGACACCTTCAGCTATAACTGTGGTTAGATAGATATTACAAACTCAATTGTGAATATAATCACATTATCAAACAAGTGTTTACTTTAAATACGTGCCTTTTGTTCCACCTCCGACAGGGTAGCAGGACATGGACCTCCTCCAGTCTTACATGCCTCTTTCCTTTTTTCTTGGGCCTTCTTTCTCGTTTGGCATCTGTTGAATAAGTAGTAGTATTTTACTAATATATATACAGTGAACAGATTTTGAGATGTACTCAGTACAATGTGTCAAGGTTACATGACTGGTAATTACTTGTACATGTACAGTATCAATATGCATAGTATGTTATATTATGCATGCATGTACCTATCTTCCTGCATGGTATACATCTGGAATGTATTACATTACATATTTCTGTATTTTCTAAATATTATATTAAGAGCAACATATCAATTATTATTTCAGTGAACATGTCCCAATAACATCACAATTAAAATACTAAAAATAATCTTTATATTTCTACTGAGGTAATTTGTTAGAAAACATTCAACAATTATAACAATAATGATGATATTAAAAATATGACATTGCATCACAAAATAACAATACATGCAGTTAATAATGATTCTGGATGTATTTGCTTTTGACCGGAATCGAACCGATGTCTAAAGACTACCATTCAAAAGCTTCATTACATCTTATTTCAATATTAAAAATATACACTTAGTTATTATGCACATTAAAGTATGAACCCGTCATACTTTTGATGAAATAATAAATGTGTGAACCCATCACACTTGATGAAATAATAAATGTGTGAACCCATCACACTTGTTGAAATAACAAAAATGTGTGAACCCATCACACTTGATGAAATAATAAATGTGTGAACCCATCACACTTGTTGAAATAGAAAATGTATGCAAATCTAAATGGGCACTCACTGTAATTTATGGATGATGAACCTGATACTCATCAGTACTGATTCAGCCATCTGAGGGTGCTGAGCTCAATCAATATTTTAAGGTGTTTTGCAAATATCTTCCTCATACTTACTTGGCGTCTCTCAAGGATCATATATTTTTAGAATGTCAAATGATATGGATATACATAATACATCATAAGTACCATTACTCTACTACAGTAGTATATTGAATATCAGATAATATAGGGGAACATACGTAGAATCTAGAGAAGATAGCCAAAGTTTTTATACCTTTACGTTTGTTTGACTTACTTGATGTCATTCCACTTCTTCCGAACATCGGTTGCTGATCGGCAACTTGCCGTATTTGCATTGATCCTGTAAATGATGTTGGAATTATGGAAGGGCAGGGTCTTTATGTTTTATTTTACAGACTGGACAAAATGCAGTTACATTAGTTACAGTTTTTGTTGTACTAAGGTATAGAGTTTATTTTCTAGGCTTTGCTATTATATCCAATTTACCTGAATTTAATATTAAATCGAATATATTTATTATTTCAAAGGTATGGTGCATGTTGGGGTACGTATATTGACTTATTTTTATATCAGATAACATTCTGACACTAGTGACAGTCCACAGCTCACTTACTTGTTAGCGATGTCCTCCCATATGCTGCCTTTCAGCTTACTGGTGACGGTAGAGCTGAATGAGGAATTAAGTGTTGTGTGGTGCACAGACACCTCATCCACAAGGACAGCGATCTCGCTTGCTGAAAAATTGCTTCGACGAACGCGTTTGACGCCGACAGAGGTCTGTGATTCGGCCATATTTCGACAATGTGTCGTCTGCTAAACATGACCAAGGGAGGCCACTCTTAGGGAAACTTTCGTATCTTCATGGCTGAAGATTCCGATCTTTGTTAAGATCGGCTACTTAAGAACTTGTAAAGTTACAATCGCCCTAAGATAGCTTTGTGGAACGGGCGTAAACTTTAGCTAAGACGATTTTATAATCGACGTAAGTCTCTAAGATTGATTGTAGTTACGATCGCTTTGTGGAACGGGACCCTGGACCGTAGGGGGATATGGGTAAAATGGCTTGTTCCGGGTTAACACTAAGCTGGGCCCCGTCTCTAATATCACATTATTGTTTGGCGCAAGTTGACGACGCGCATAGGGAGCCGGGAACCAGGTTAACACGACATAAGCTGGTTCCCGGCTCTCTATGCGTGTCGTCAACTTGCGCCAAGTTTTATTAGAGACGAGGCCCAGCTTATACACTGAACACGATCGGTCATTTCGTCAAAACTGGCCAAATATTGAGATTGCAGCTGAGGTCATGCTGGCAGCTGAAGTGACACATTAAGGTAAGGAATATGTGAATATTACAATGATCACGTATTAAAGTAATTTACCACATGTAAGCCTGTCACATGTGACACATTAACTTTTATAGCCAACATGTAAGTAAATGAATAATTATATTTTTATATGACAAGTAGCCTGTCTATCATATGTTAGTATTTGCTTATGTATATAATGTAGAAATATGTTTACTTTAACTGGATAATTTGTATGCTAATGTGACTCACTGTCTTATTTCATATACTCCCTGTACTCTGTGAGAATGATTAATAGCCTCAACATATTTTTCCAGATCTGAAGAATCAAGAACAGCTTTAATAACAGGGAAGTTTTGCATCAGAGATCATCGTGAAGTGGAAGATAAGACATTTTAAGGGTATGAACATTTTCACTTCAACTAGTTGAACAATAACCATGATGACAACTTTATCATGGGGGAATTTTTGGTGGTGGGGTAGCCTAGCGGTTGAAGCGTTCACTCTTCGTGCTGAAGACCCAGGTTTGATTCCTGCCACATAGCTGCGATATTGCTGAGTGTGGCGTTAAACATCAAACAAAGCTAACAGCCGCATACTTACTCATGTGGGGATTCCAAGTTGAAGTTGGTCCCCATCAACATGATCAACCTATGCTAGTTGTGAGAGATAACTTAATGGATCGGGTGATCAGGCTCGCTGACTTGGTTGATCCATGTCATTGTATCCCAATTGTGTGGATCGATGCTCATGATGTCAATCACTGGATAGTATGGTCCAGACATGATTATTTACCGACCGCCGTCATATAGCTGGAATATGGCTGAGTGCAGAGTTAAACAACAAACACCAACATGATTCTACAACCTGCTCTTGTGGATACCATTTTGAAGATCCTACACATAACTTCTTTTCGGGTCTTAACTATTGCAATATGTTCTACTACATGTGTTTAAAACATATATTTTTTTCATAGTGAACTGGATTTGCAAACAAGCCGATGGCTTATCTAAATGATGCTGAAATACAACATAAGTATTAATAAAATACTAATTCTATACTATTGCAAACTATCAGTTGAGCAATAATGTAATCATCTGATTATAAGTAGATAATGAAGGAGAAGTCCATATTGATTAAATCTACCAGATTCTGAGATAAATGCACGTATTGATTGATTTATTTCAATGTTTTCCTGTACATAATTTTCAACAATTCCATATAAAGCTTTCTTATGTCATATCCATGCTGTATAATAATACCTATTATTTCTAATAATAGCATAATTTGGACACACAAATAAGTAATGAATGGTATTTTTATAACAGGTCCCACACATGCGGGATAGGTCATTTGACATGAATCAGTTTTATGTGAATTTAAATCACGACAAGCTGATCTGAGTCATGAAAGGATATGCCTTCGATTCTGTGAAAATGGAAATGCTAAAACATCTCCCAATATTAACCATGCTATTACAGAATCTGTTCACTTGTTTTTGTATTAAAATATTTTTGAACGATAACATTCATCTAATGATTGTTTGTATGTGTGATATGCCAGTAGAGGTATATGTGTACAAGCATGTGCATACACGTAAAAAAATTATGTTTGTTTGGCTAGGTACCAGTATATGAATAGGTTGTTTTGTGCGACTTGTATATTAGCATCATCATAGTTTCAACAGACAGTTTATGTATATCAAATGTTAAATGTCTTTGTAGGGAGAATTGCATATCAAAACTGTCATTTTTTTATTACTTATGAGTAGAACTTTTTAAGTATCTGGCATGATACATTTCCTTGGTCCACAGAAACATGTTACCAGTAAACTGATTTGATAAGTAGCATAAGTGATAATACCCACCTGACACTAATTGCCCTGTTAATCCCTAATCCACCATGAGTTGACATTGAGTTCATCTTGCTAATGAGCTGTTGTGAGCGTAACGAGATGATAAACATCAAAGGTGGGGCAGGCTTTGATCAAGTGTTCTGTAGAAGAGATTATGTCACTTGTTTAATGTTTATTTAGGATTAGCTACATCCCTTGATGCGACCAAGACCATACTTGAGATTATCAGACAGTTTGTCTGGATAAAACCTGATGTCTCAACTGTACTTATTGGATTCTGCCTTGTAGCAAACTATGTGTGTGACAAGGACTTTGGCCACTCTGTGCAGATGCATAACAATGCATAATGAACTTGGGGTATGATTCAATTATGTCACACAAGTCAAAGATAGGTTCCACTGTATTTAGAAACAGACGATAGATGCAATACTGTGTAACTTTATAACAATCAAATGAGTATTCAAATAGGAATACACATATATTTACAATTACCCTTGAAAAGTTCCAAAACCAAATAGAACTACTTAAATTATGATTACACTTGACCAATATATTTGGCAGTTTTTGCTGTTATTGTTAATCTTAATTAAAGATAGGATAAATGATAAAAATATGATAATGCATATCACACACAAGTGTGTATTATACGCAAATAAATAAGTCTTGTATACATTGATTAATTGGAAAGGGTGCTAATTGGGATTGTTCACTAGCCAATATATTAGCAAATATTCCCGTGGGCGCTTATTAGAGCGAGGCGCTTATTACGTCAAATACGTTAGTTCTGTTTTTATGTATAAGAACCTATTTTATGCAATTTGCATTGCCTTGTTTACCTTTCCTTATGTTTTGATGTAATGCAAACATTTGAGAAAAATTCAGGTGAGCCTGCCTTATGGCACTACAGGAATTGTTTTCAGAAGATCAATTACAATTTTGTATTTTCTGTAAAATTTACTGTTTGCTATGGCTTTTTTACATTGGTTAACATGGTTTGGTTAACAGTTGCTTGATAAATTGTCATTACCTTACTCATTGAGAAACCAACTTTTTACCCTTTGTCAATATATGTGTGTTTCTTATATTTTTAATAACAAGCTTTTAAAGATGTTATAAATTGTTTCAGGCACCTGGAAACACATGACACCAGATCAGACAAGTCATACAAAGGACTCTCCGGATGATGAATAATCCTCCCCAGAACAACTAACAGGTTCACCTCAGAAAGTGATGATTCTGAATGAATACTGCCACATCAGTGTGATTCTGTAGGTTGTTTTATTACGACATTAATCAAGTCTAAAGGAATTAATACCACAGCAGTGAGACTATGTTTATGTGGTGTACACTGACGCTGACTATACAAATCTGAATGACTTTTGTGGTTTACTGCACAAACATAATTGACTTTAGATATTCTTCTACCTTGAAATTCTTCTGAGATTTGACTAATTTGTTTATTTAGAAAATGGCATTGAAGCATCTGTTTCTGTTTTTGAATGTTCTTGCAAACACCTCTGGTTACTGAACCAATGAAATGTCATAAAATCAATAAATATGATTTTTTATCTTAACAATTTTTTTGTTTTGCTTCTTTAAAGAAATATGATATTGATCATTCATAACATAGGTGCTAACATATATCAAATATACTAATGCCCTGAATGTTTTCCTACAATTAATCCAGCTCACTGAACGGAGTTTTTAGTTCCATGTCAGTAGAAAAGTTACATTGATATTTTTATGTACCAGTACTTTATTAGGTGTTTTCTGTGGATGCCATTAGTCTTATGCACCCATTTGGGTTAATGATATTCTGTTTCGAACTTCAATGAAACTCGTCTGTCAAGATGTAACAAGTATTGATACAGTTCCAAAATAATCTTTTAATCTCACCAGGAACAAAGGCCCAAGTGAGCACATAGCCAATGACTTTCATTTTTTTGTCAGAGTGAGTATGGTGTTATGCCACTTTATGAGCAAAATTCAAACAATATCATGATGGGTGACACCAAGCAATGTACCGATGTGGTGAATCGAACGCTTCAACCACTAGGCTAGAACAAACTGGGAATATGAAGATGAAATGTAAGGATACCATCATACCAGGACTGAATGCTTTTCATTTTAATGCTGAACATCTAAATTGAAATATATATGAACTTGAAAAATGTTTTCACCAAAAGTACATGCCCATAGATCTCAACTTCAGGGGGATATTTACAACTAAAATAGCACAGAAATTTTACTACAGCTATCTGCTATGCCCAGGCTAACATTATTACTAGGAGAAAGACATCTCGAAAAATTGCATCCGGATACCTGCCGGATACCTGCCGGATACCTTCAGCAATGTTCAATTTTCATGTTTAGTTTCCAATATATTTTTAGGTGTTTCACACTTAATTGAACAAAATGCACCCCCCAAATTGTGACATGTTTTTGGAAACTCAGAATGAGGTATCCGGTGCCGGATCCCTGGACACCCAGATTGAGGTATCCGGTGAGGTATCCGGTGCCGGATACCCGGATTCCAGGTGACATACTTTCCGGTGAGGTGTCCATGCCGGATACCACAGATCTGGTATCCGGCAAGGTATCTGCCACCGGATACCCGGACGCGTTTTGGGTAAGTGTCCGGTGGTATCCGGCAGGTATCCGGATACCGGAAACTGCATTTTTTTTGCTGTGAATTCATACCATCAAGTCTTCGATATGATAAATAAAACAAAACAGGTATAGGGGTGGTCTCAAAAACAAAACCGGGACGTAAAAGGATAATAGACAGCTTGATACAGGGTGATTAGGCGTACAGTGTACAAGCTTTATGTGCAGAAGGAAACCCCGACTTGTAGTAGAATTTGGGCAGCAAATTAAAGATACAATTAATGTCTCATGGACTGCACTAACTATTGCTCTCCAGGAGATGGGATTTCGATACATGGCGCAAGGCGATGACCTTGCAGTTTCAGGAGAAAATATTCCATCCTGTCAACGAGGTTACATTATCTCCGGACCTTTCAAAACCATCGCAGTCAGGGCGTCCAGATAATTTACCTTGATGAATCATTCCCCTGACTACATGTGGCTATCGGCAGATGGACAATCGTGTCATTATTTTGCACGCCGCAACCCATGACATGGGGCTTATTGAAGGATGTGTGCTAGTTTTCGAGGCGAAAAGGGAACCTGGTGATTTTCTTAAGGAAATTATCGGAGGTTATGTGTTCATAGACACGTTGAAACTGAGGCTATTGCCCATTTTAAACAACGTCAGTGTCATTGTCATTGATAATGCCAGTTAATATAACGTCCGGGAATCAGATACTGTAGCCCAATCATTAGTGGTCTGAAGGCGACCATACAGGAATATATGACATTGTCGACTTCAGATCATCTGAAACGAAAGTTAAACTCATGGAGAAAATTCGGCTGAATAAGAAACCAGTAAAGTACAAGACATTTGTGCTGGCGGCACAACACGGTTGTCTTATGTACGCCAGTCAGATAGTGTGCTCATCCCTGTTGTGCCTACATTGGCTAAGTGTAAAGTGTTCGTGGTAAGACATAATACAACGTTCAAAAGTACAGATTCATATACGTCATCGGCGGAGATAAATGCTACCTCAAGAAACCATCTGTAGAACAACAAATACTTCTTGATTCCAAAACCACAACCTTCCAATACTCATCCCGTTTCATAGTTTTTAACTTTTCAATCACGTTTCCAAGCAAATTTTATGCAGTACATATCCTTAATTGCTAACCCATGAACGCACCTATCAATTTAGTACAATGACAGCAATATTGTGAGACCACCCCCAACTCGGTTGACATTTACACCTGTGAGAGGTGCTAGGGACAGGTGCTAGGTTACAACCTCAGGTTATAGGCCGTTTCATACAAGCATGACAACAAACGAATATTTTCTAAGAAGTATTATCATTTTACCTGTAAAAGTACATTTTGAGTAATCACAGTGTCAGTTAGGACAGGCTAGATTAAGTCAGTTTGCGTTGTTTTGATATATATTCTCTTTTTATAGTCCTATGACTCGTGTTTATTAAAGGAAGCCAGAAAAGCATATTTCTAGCATTTCCGACAGTACTTTTTAGAATCGCACTTATGCACACCGGGAAGAGAATCGACAAGATCCTTACAGTTGAAGTTTCTGTACCGGGAGGGTAAGGAAGATGTTAAGAAACGGAGTTTGGACTGTAAACACGAAGAGAGGTCACACCATTTTACGAGCTGCCGTTGACGTATCACCATTGGCAACCAGAACTCTTGACATTTTATGAGCGCTTCATTTTGTCTGTCAGTGACAATCATCAGAAATAATCTCGAATATATTACAGCCTCATGACAATACTCTAGGAACCTACCTATGAAGATCCGGGTTATAATTGGTCTTCAGCAAACTGTGCTTGTCGAAAGAGGCAAATAACGGGATCGGGTGGCCAGGCTCGCTGACTTGGTTTATGCATGTCATCGTATCCCAATTGCGTAGATCGATGCTTATGATGTCGATCACTGCATTGTCTGGTCCAGACTCGATTATTTACAGACAGCCGTCATATAGCTGAAATATTGCTGAGTGCGGCGTTAAACAACAACAAACAAACATCACTCACTCATACGTGTAGTTAAGACGTGCTGTACCTATAGTTTTTGTTTCATCTTGAATTTGCCTGTTCTTAAACTGTTCCGTGTGTTCACTCATTACATCCAACATGTTCGTAGCTAGACTGACATTTAGCGCCATCGCCAGAAACACTTTGGAAACGTTAAACCTGCACGAAATATCGCGCCAAATGAGCATATTGCATCGTTAAAGTCTTGACGCAGTTGTCGACTTATCCATGGTATATTTATCACAGGTGTTTGTGTGCATGGTTTTGTGCAGGCGTGCGTGAGAGAGAGAGGGATAAGGGTGAGGGAGAGAGAGAGATTGAGAGAGAGAGCGAGAGAAGGAGGGGGAGACAGAGAGAGAGAGAGAGAGACAGACGGGGAGGGAGAGAGAGAAGGGGAGAGATTGAAAGAGGAGGGAGAGATTGAGAGAGAGAGAGAAGGGATAGAGGCAAGTGTTTATATTAAGAAAATCATACACACACTGGTCTCATTGTGTGCAATAAATTATAAAATGCAGGGTTGATGGAGTGAGAGAGGAGGAGATGGAGAGAGGGAGAGGAGAGAAAGAAGGGGAGAGATTGAGATAGGAGGAGGGGAGATAGTGAGGAGGGAGAGAGGAGGGGAGATTGAGAGAGAGAGAGATAGAGAGAGGGTGAAAAGATAGACAGAGAAAAGGGGGGGAGATTGAGAGAGGAGGGAGAGAGAGGAGGGATAGAGATTGAGAGAGAGGATAGTGAGGCTCTTAAGAATTTACACCTTCCTCCTGTTTATATTAACTCGAAGACACTTGACTTTTCATAAACACAACGATGTCACTCGCCTGTTTGCGTACAATAATTCACAAAATGCATGCTCGGGCTATCGCTGTAGAAATATATATATATTTTTTGTTGCGCTTGCGAACACTTGCAACCCTGCAAATAGAAACTAACTTTCCTTTTTATTTTGCGAGGTTCATCTGGTTAGAGATAAGATGATGAAGTGTTTCAAGTTTTTTTATAGCCGTTCTGCAACTTCTCTCTAGGGCTCTTCATTTCAGCGTTCATCCACAACCAGCAGCTATTGACTTCAAGTTAGTTTATTTTCCTGGCACCCATGTCTTCAAACACGATAGCGCCGTTTTGCTACCAGCTGAACAGACAGTTATTTTGTCTGTGTGGAGCTTTTCGCAAAATGTAAATCCACACGACACTGTAGTAAAAATAGCATTGGCAATACAATCAACAAAACTGCCTGATAAAGCACAAAGTTGGCGTATGTGCTACTTGGTTGTGGCGAGGGTATTCCACGTATGCTGGCTTTTCTTGCTGTCGGTTATCATACCGGTATGTTAAGAGAACCTAGTGGTAAGAGCCCATGCCGAAACACCCATTTCTAAACAAGCTCTGTGTGGTTTCAAGGTTCATTGAACCTACACAAATAATGTCTATTATGATGTGCCAAATGCCACAAACTAACGTGTTTTTTACATATGTACAAACGTGCTCACGTTTGATTTACAAGGCGCACTGTGATGAGAAGAGAACCCCTTATATAGCACTTTCTGGTGGAAGACTAATATCTGAACACATGTATCATATTCCGTTCTGAACACAAAACACTTTCTTTCTTTGCACATGGAGGTAGTGTTTCGACTGGGATTAAAATACGGTAAACTACGTTTATAAGGAACACGCTTATAACGAACTGACCTATATAACGAACTTTGTTTTTAGTCCCGACCATTTGTTGTATATATGTTGTATGTATTCTTATAACGAACAACGGTTATTACGAACAAAAAATAGTGGTCCCCTCGAGTTCGTTATAACCGTAGTTTACTGTAATCAAAATGAACTTGTTTTATAACGTCTTTTGCTCCAAAGAAGGAATATAAGATTTCGTAGTTTTTCATGTACATAATACACTTTTCTCCTTTACCTTCATTCTTATTTCGTTCTCAATTATATCCGGGGCACGGCTGACTATGTTGGGCCTAAGGTGCCTCAATTCTCTGTTCGAACCCATAGTGGGTTCGAATCCCTGATTCGTCCTGATATGTTTCCAAGTGCTTGTTGGTTTAACCAAAGTTGAAAACTTCAGGATTTCCTCCCACGTCAATCTGACACGCAGTGACACAACTGAAATACTGTTCCAGGAGGCACTAAACCAAATCCTCTCACTTGGTTACTATTTAATTCCATCAGGGGGCACGGGTGGCCCAGTCGTCTAAGGCGCCGCAATTCGCTGTGCAGAGTTGCGTCCGCTGGGCACGCCAGAAACCTATGACTGTGGGTTCGAATCCCGGTTCGCCCCAATTATGTTCTAGGTTTGTCAGCACCATACCCGTGCTCGTGGGTTTCACCGAAGTGGTAAACGTCTGAGACCTGTATCACTTCGGGCTTTCCTTCCACATTAAGCTGACACGCCGTGTTATAACTGAAATACTGTTAAAAGCGGCGTTAAACCCAACTCACTCATTCACTCTTAATTCCATCAAATAGGGAGATCGATTTACTTTCACAGACTTTTGTGCCGAGTGTTCTTTGACGAAGTCTTTTACCAAATATCATATGGAGCGAGAATCACAGTTCATGAGGAGTGGGTGGGTGATGCAAAGTATTGACCATGGCTTCCCTGAACCCCCACACGGGCACAATAAATGAAATAAATGAAAAACAAAGTTCCAAAATGATAGGGAAGTTGACAATGTGTTTAAAGCAGAGTCCATTGTACAATTCCGACTACATCATGAACATGTGTTTAATCAGTATCAAATAGTGATGATACCAGGTGTTCGCGAGGGGGCATTCTTGTTGTTCGCTGTATCGTTGTTGTTGGATAGTGCTAAGAGAAGTGTAACTTCCCATCCGTTCACTCAACGCTGAGCGGAAGGACATGTATGAAGACATAATGGTAAGCTATTCAAAAGAGAAAATTCATTCAAAAGGACAAACTTCACCTCACACGCACGAACGCACGAACGCACGAACGCACCGCGCACGCACCTCGCACTCACTCACAGTGAGAGAGAGAGGGGGAGGGAGAGAGTGAAGAAGAAATATTACAGCGATCTGCTTGTCGTAAGTGTCAGTCACGTCCCTCCTCTCATACAATCATTATCATCATCATCATCATTAAGATTTAATTGTACGATGCTCTGTGTACCTGATTTAATTGTATGATACTTCCTATTACTTTCACCGCCTCCATGGTCTAGTGGTAGAGCGTCCGCCCGGAGAGCGGAAGGTCCGGGGTTCGATCTTCGGCCGCGTCATACCAAAAGACGTTAAAAGATTGTACTTGTTATTACCCTGTCTGGCGCTCGGCATTAAGGGGCTAAAACAAGGGCTGGTCGGCTCCGAGTCAGTATACTGTGTCTGAGTGGGGTATTCATGTTAAACTGCGGCATAGTATCTTAGTGAGCTAGCACTATAAATCGGCATCAGTCCGGACTAGTACAACCAGCCACACAAACATACACACATACATGCACGTCGCTTAGTCTGTCTTACAGACCCTGATACAAATATATCAAATACAGCCCATGCAAGTCTATAATGTTTGGCAAGTCTAGATTACTGCAGTATCAGGAAATGAAGAGAATCACTGGGCTCCCTTTTTATTATATTTTTATTAAGATAACTGAGCAACTGTTTTTTCTGTACGATATGTTCATTTCAGAGACTATATGTTAGTCTAGCACGTCGCTATATAAGTGCAATAATCTTGGACGCGACGTTAAACCCAATTTCACCTCACCTCCTATTACTTTCGCAGAAAAAGCACGTATCTGTCCCTGGTCAGTGGAAGATAGAAGGCGATTACTACCGAGCGTTTCCGAGTGGTCTTTCACAACAAAATGGCTGACAAGCCTATCGTTATATAGCCTAGCCTTGTGTAAGTCTATCGGGAGAGCCGTAGCATGGTGGTTAGATACAGGTCTAATAGACGAAGTATCTTTCGTATGAGACAGAAGCATATGATCTATCCTCCTTGGGGCGGCTTCGACCAAACCGCGGGGATTCTAACTCGACACTCACCTTTTCTCAATTTTAAATTGAAATTGTATGTAGTTAGGAAACATATTTGACATAGTTATTATTTGAAAAACAATATAACGAGTTTCAAACTAGGCATGATGTTCAAGGAGAAACTAGTAATTGAAAGGAAACTATAGAACGGTGTGGAGGTACAGTTTAAGCAACTCCCGTAGGCGTCTAGCTACTTGTAAAGAGTGTTTATAGTGGAGTGGTATACCTGTAGCAACGTTTCAGGAATTTCAAAAAAACAAGTATACCTTGAACGCTTTTCCTTCCATTCGTGAAGAAAGGTAGGTTTTAGGCTTTGGGATTTACCGCGTAAGCAGAAAACACTCTCAATGCCAAAACCGCCTGTTCAAGTCTTAGTCTATTTTTACATTGAGCGACCTTCTCATTTCATGACGCAGAACCACAGACTTGTGCCAAACACAGGGACGAGTTTAATTGAAACACCATTAATCCAACAGTTCATCATTTACCTAGATTAAATCAGCGCCTGTCTCTGCCCTAACTGTTCAGAAGATGTTGGATAAGAGACGCTTCTCACTTCCGTGACATTATATGTGTATTTGGTCGACACGTGAACCGTGTGTTGATGCACCGGCAATGTATACCACAAAGAAGGCACAAGTATACATAGCGGTGGTACGGCAGAACGAGGAACGTCGGCCACTATCGTAAACAGATATTGGAGTGACTTCAATGTCTTGCTGTCTGACGGCTACAGTTAAAGAGGGCCAGGTGTCATGAAAGATGAAACATTTAGTTCAAGTACATTTCATTTTTTATATAACGCTTTCTACCAGTTGTTGGAATTATTTTAAGGTAATTTGATGTATGTACTGTAATGTAAAATACAAGAATGTTTAGGTATCTCTGCCATAGCAACTGCCAGAACCATTGATCTTCCTTAAACACCTGTGTACCTATCCGAGATCTTTATGATTTATATACCTCTGGTTGACTTTAGGCACATATTTCCTTAATAATGTTCCTTAAATAAACTAGTTTCTGATTGAAAGTTAAGTGTATGTCATAGGCTGATTCTTCGACGTCCATCTGTAAACATCTGCTCAAAACGACTGTACACATAAAGCTGAAATTTCACATGTTCGGTTGAATAATAATGACACCTGGATGTGTTCAAGACGTTTGAAATCGATAATATTGGTGTTGTTTGGAAGATTATTTGACATTATAAAAAGGATGTATACTTGATATTGCATGTTCCTGTACGAATCATATCGTTTCTTTGTTTGTTTGTTGTTTAACGCCGCACTCAGCAATGCTCCAGCTATATGATGGCAGTCTGCAAATAATCGAGCCTTGGCCAGACTATACAGTGATTGACATCATTAATATCCCTTTAAAACAGTTCATTTCTGTCGATTTCATTTCCAATGTAAAATATAATACATTTCATATACATACATAATCACATAGCAATGCGGGGCGGGGATGGTCCGGTCGTCTAAGGCGCCGAAATTCACTGTGTAGTGTTGCATCCCATGGGCACTTCAGAAACCTATAATCGTGGGTTCGAATCCCGGTTCGTCCTGACTATGTTACAATGTTTGTCAGCACCGATACCCGATCCGCGAACGTCTAAGACCTGATCCACGTCGGGCTTTCTTCCCATATCAAACATACACACCGTGATATAACTGGTTTTCTGTTCAAATTGGCGTTAAACCCAACTTACTCACTCACTCTCTCACATCGCAATGCAAATAGAGTTACCAATAAGAAATAAACACAAGGAAATCATGGAACATATATGATGTGTGAGAATGTAATAACTAATGATAATCTACAGAATGAGGAATACAGTTTAAATCATCTTATCTACAAACTGAGCTGGACTCGAACGTAAATATAAATTGTCAATGCAAGAGATCCAACTTACCTATTACAATCAGTATAACCAATCTCCCTCCATCAGGGTCAACGGAAATCATAATTAAAACTCCTTTCATGAAATGTTTATATATGCTTGTGAAGTCAACAAATTTTCTTTTTGAAAAGAGACATTGTGTGTAAATATATTTTCTTGATGAAAGATGAGTCTCCTTATCTATTTCCACCGACTCCGGTTCGGTATTAGATCCCCTGGTGTGTAGTGAAATATTTACAAGCATGTCAGAGTGAGTGTGATACTTATCAGTGTTAATGTCTTGCCAGGCCCTCCATATCAGGGAGTGGTCAGATACGAGGCCCCCGATGGCGTGACACCGTCTGCGATATAAATCAAAAGTGTTATCGCGCAGTGAACCGCATATTGTTCGCGTCACGCACAAAGGGACATAACTCGTGTTACCTTTAACACACGCACAGAGGCATTCGCTACAGACAGCATTGTTGCACTCTCGATATAGAGTCAAGTTCAAAAACGAATACTAGAGTCTAATATTGAATTATATATACCATAATATTAGAAGAAGAAGAAGAATAGGTACATGTATGACTGTGGTGATAGTAATACCAGTTGCAGATCTTGTATAGGGTGCATCTCAACCGAAAGTCTTCTTCATCTTATAGTATGATTATACGAATTCAATTGATCTTCATAAATTATTAGAATTAACAAAATTCGAAAGATGTATTCATGATAATAAGGAAGAGAATATATGGATGTCAACTTCTTTATAAAGCAGAACACAACGTTTCGGAGTATATGCTTACTCCTTCATCAGGTGAATGAATGCCATGAGGCAGAGAGCATAAATATATACATCTAAGGACATTAAAATCAATAAGATAACAAAAGGTGGACAATAATAAAGGGTACAAGCTAACAAAGGAAGTCAACAGATGATTGGCGCTGATAGGTGATAAGCAATAGACAATGGAAGCCAACACTCAAGTTATCATAGCTAAGTAATTCGTAATGGACACTGGCCAAATGGGGGCGCGGGTGTGTGTAATTAGCACTGAAATGTGTAAGAATGGACATAGCAAAGGGCAAATTGAAGCCAGCTAGGCAATTAGCCCCGACAAAGATCAAAGCAATAAGTCCCAAGCGCTAGGCAGATAGGTTCCCTGGTCACGGTTCATGGCTGGCTGGTGTCTCCTGATGTCAATGGCTTCTTGTAGTTTCCTTGGTCGCCAGTTGTTGTTGGCAGACAGGACTTTGGTGGCTTCCCACATGATGTTATGGTTTTCGTTCTTCAGGATGTGTTCGGAAATAGCGGATTTCTGGTCGAGTTTGTTAACAGAGGTCCGATGTTCTTTGAGTATTGTGTTGAGGGGTCTAAGGGTTTCTCCAATGTACTGGTGGCCACAGTTGCAGGGGATCTGGTTTATACCTCCTCGGGGGTTGGGACTTGTGCAGCTTGTGCCTCTACCATTGGCTTGTAGATGGGTCTTGATAGACTTGCCGCTAGAGAATGTGACATCTATGTTGGCTTTATTCTTAATGAGGCGGGCAATCTGAGGAGTGACAGGGCCATGATAGGGTATGGTGATTCTGATGGGTGATGGAGCTGGTTTGGGCCTGGGGTAGGAGTTTTTGAGGGTCTTGCGGATGGTTTTGGAGACTAGGTAGGCAGGATAACTGTTGAGGGAAGTGAAGGTTTCCTTGAGATGGTCCAGTTCACTGCTGATGGCATCAGGGTGACAAATGGATTTGGCATGTCGGGTGAGGGTGGCGACGTTGGCTTGTTTTATCTGGGGATGGTGGCAGGAGTTGTGTGTGGGCTTGTGGTACAATGATTCATGATAATGTTTTATATCTTGCCTAGGCTTTGCTGTCCTTATTATATCTTTGTTAAAGTTGAGAACGGTTTAAATTAGAGTGACATAAACCTTGGATTTCGTTTCGTGATTAGAACTTTTTCAGCTTCAGCTACAAAACTAGGTATTATTTCGTTTAAATTAAAACCCACATTGCAACAACGTAGTTTTTGTGGCAGGCAATTTCTATTTCTTTAAACAGGCAGAAGCATAATTATTTTGTTTCGAGAAATCACGGATATATTGGCTTTTCACAGAAGACACAATTTATGGATAAAAACTGTCAGTATAGACCGTAATACCGTTGTCAAGCAAGAAAAGAAGTTGTTATCCATAAAGTGTGTCTACTTTGTCATCCGTAAACTTCAAAGTAATACTTATCAAACAATTATTTTTCTCGATAAAATGAATTGTGCTGTGAAATACAAGAATGTACAGGAATCTCTAGCGAGACAGCAACTGCCAGAACACGGAACCGTTGATCTTCCTTAAACACCTGTACACCTATGTGTTCCGAGATCTTTTATCTTGCATGCCTAATATGCCTCTGGTCGACTTCAAGCACATATTTCGATAACATCTTTAAAGATCTAAAGGAAGCCGTGAGGTGTATAATCAAATAGACACAGAATGTTGGTCAGTTGTAGGACATTTGCATCTGGCTCGGGAGTGTTTCCGGAGTATATACATGTGTATGAATCGCTATCAATCAACGTGTTCTGGCTACTTATATTTGAACACGCGTTTCATGTTAAGGCTCTCAGGGACGCCGATAGGTGTACCATCAAATAGCACTTCCTCTCGAAAAACTAACATTGTATCATTGTGTTTGTATAATAAATCCTACATTTCTTCCCTAGTCAGTAAGGAGACCTTATGGGGACACAAAACAATTGTGATATTCGAAACAAACAACGACAAAAGCTTTCAAGTTTACAATCTTAGACAAAAGATTCCATTTCTTCTTAGAAAGATCCCCAGTACCTCCTGCTTGTAGTTAGAGCAGACAAGTGAGGATCGAAGGCTTAATATGTGTGACATGGCTGAAGGTGTACGTCTAGTAAGGATCGCTGGGTTAAAATGTGTGACCTGATGGTGTACGTCTAGTAAGGATCGCTGGGTTAAAATGTGTGACCTGATGGTGTACGTCTTATGAGGATCGCTGGGTTAAAATGTGTGACCTGGTGGTGTACGTCTTATGAGGATCGCTGGGTTAAAATGTGTGACCTGATGGTGTACGTCTTATGAGGATCGCTGGGTTAAAATGTGTGACCTGGTGGTGTACGTCTTATGAGGATCGCTGGGTTAAAATGTGTGACCTGATGGTGTACGTCTTAAGAGGATCGGAAGGTTAAAATGTGTGATCTGGTAGTGACTGAGGATCGGAGGGTTTCGACTGATCTACCCACCTGAACTAGAAATAAGAGAGACCAGTGAGACCACATAATCTGTTTCATATTTAGATCTATGACTTCAACTTTCCCTTCGTGTCGAGTAATATTCCAGCAGATCCAGCCTTTGGTATTTACATTTCACAACTCCTTCTACCAAGATTTCAAAGAGCGTCACACGACTCTTGCTCAGAAGTTGTTTGATCAAGGTTACAACATTCCATGCAAGGCCGTGCAAGTTTTCAAAAAGTTTTATCGTAAACATATGTAGGACATTTCCAAATTTGACGCTTCAGTGGCAAAAATGATGTCCGATGAAATTCCCTATTTTGTGTTGTACAACATGTTCCCGTGGTTTTTTTTTCAGGTGAACAATTGACTTGCCGGTGCCTTTGTTTGTGATGGGTGCCTACGGTGGGGCAGGATACAATCACCTTTTCGCGAACACCTAGTATCATAACTATTTGACAGTGATTCATAAACACATGCTCATGGTATAGTCGGAATCGTACAACGACACTGCTTTTAGCAGAGATTTCTATTGAATCGGGAAAGGGTGTTGTCGTTTTTATTTAAAGTGTATGTCCTGGGTGATGCGTGTTCCGACAGCGTGTGGCGTTGATCACACTATCAGCAACGTGTTTGCCTAATCCCGATTAGATTATTTGAAAGCCGCCCAGGTACAACTGGAATGTTGTTGCATATTGTTGAAAACAACTTCTAATTTCTTAATCACATTACACAAGAGGCAAATATTCCATCTTCGGGCACCATAATCTCTTAACCCCAAATCCAAACGCAATTTTACACGATATTTATTTAATCTAGTGTATGTGTTCTGACAACTGTGTGCAAAAAATACATTAAATTAATAAGCAATGGTTTATTTATTGTGATTTTATTTTGGACATATACGTTATAGCACCACCACCAGTCTCCCAAGTATAAATTTCGATTTCCGAAAATATACAAATTTGGCTGTACAAATAACCCGCTACCGCTGCTGTATACATATAGGGCTTATCAGGGTATGCTAATATAGACAAGTATAAGCGTGGTCCGGCCTCTACAAATAGCCTGTGTCACTTGTTTCCGCCTAGAAAGCAAACACGAGACAGTCTGTCCTTGGCCGCCATTGTGCTACGTTGCCATGACAACGTAATAATACCGTCACTGATCAAACTTGACGTCCCACATTTCCTTTTATGGAGCTAGTGTTCAAACCTTAACAGTGATGCAGTATTTACCTTCCTGCGTGAAGTGCAATAATCACGTGACGTCATGAGGGTTTACCTCAAGTTCACGCCTAGAGATCATGACTAGTTTATCGGTCGACACGATAAATGTACTCTTTCATTTTAACTTATGGGTTCTAACTGACACAGCTGATTTTTAACCTTGTAATGGGTTTTTTTCAGTATCCAATCCTAATATTATAAACCTTTTTGCCAATCCAATAGAAAAAGAAACAGTGGGGATAACCTAGTCCTGCACCATGACTGTAGAATATATTTATTTAAAAACAAAATCAATCTAGACATGTACACAAAAGCAAGTCAAGCCAGTTCTAGCTAGCTCTATTCCACCATATCAGCATCAGAAAAAAATATTTGTTTTAATTTTAGAGAGAAGAGTGTATAATGTTTTTTAAGATGTCATAGACTATACTATTATTTTATGTTACGAGAGATACTTAGAGATAACTATAAAATATGTGTCATCGTTTTTCAAAGGGACTGATTTTAATTTCTTGTATATTGCCCCTTTTAACGTTTAACCGTTATTGATGTCAAACCTTGGTCTGTTGTCTGACACGTCTGAGAGTGGATGTCAGCGCTAGTTTTTAAATGTTATTGAATTTGTTCAAGCAGGTGATTATAAGTACAAACTGCATTTTGTCTTAATGTGTCCTCTCATTATAAATGAGACATAAAAGCCCGTAGATGCATTTGTTTATTAATGTGATTTCTTGGTATAATAAGAAACATTTATTTGTAGAAAAAACAAAATAAACATTTGGCCCTACTCGTCTTTTTAATCAACCTAAGAATCACCTACATAAACTGGGATACCTGTGACCCATGTCCACCGTTAGTCCCTACTGCTACTGCTGCTGCTGCTACTACTGCTACCGCTGCTGCTACTGCTGCTTCTACTACTGCTACTGCTACTCCTACTACATCCAAGGCCTTCGTACCACCCGCATCAAAAACGCCATGGCTCCATGTACGTATATATTCATTGACATGCACACATATATATACAGATACACACATTATTGGGTCATGTAGCTTAACAGGTTCTCACAGTATTCTGTACATCTGGGACACGACGAGGATGTAACAGCTGCAGACATGATGAATGTCCTATTTTCACATTATGAACATTTAACATTACTAGTGTGAAGTCAAACATATGAAATATTTATAATTGTTTATGATAGGAAAGCACGGATAGCAAATCGCCTTGTGAACAAATGTTAATTTGTCTTTGTTAAAACGTTTCAACTGACAATGAAGCGTTGGCTGACTTTTCCAAATTCGGGTTTTCTATCGTCCAATCATGTTCTGGAGGAGGATAGGGTGGATGGGATGTCTGTCCCAATATATTCGCACATGTCAGTAAACATGTTTTCTAATATGCCCAAATACCAAAGATTCTAAATGGAGTGGCTTAATTTCCAAATTTCTCACTAAATTGAACAGAACCCTTTCAATGTCATCACATTACTTGCATGATGTCGCACAACTGTTGCAACATAGTTGATTTGCATGTACCTATGGCAAGGGTATCGCAATGCTTTGCTCCCAAACGTCACCCCCAGTAGGGTCTTCTGTGTGAGGTACATTAGTTGTCCACCAATCTCATGGGCTGGGGAACCATAGCCTAACAAAGACCCATGTCACCCGAGGGACCGGTGAACAGCGTATTTATCTTACCGCACACCTAATTTTACTGAAGGTTTGTCTCATGCATGCTTCCTATGATCATAATCTGTTAGGCAAAATAGCAGACGACAGAAAATAAACTTAGAGTTATTTCCCTTGAGCTATTTCATTCGGAAAATATCGGAGATATCCGGAGAAGGGCGTCTTACGTTATTAATTCGAGATACAAAATTGCGGATGGTATGTTGCAAATGTACGTTGCTAACAGTTCTTCACAACTCGAGCTGGTAACATAAGAAAAGTGCTTTACACGTCAACGAAGAACATTGAAAAATATAGAATGGCTCTCAGTCAATAAGAATCCGGCATCTATGTGTAAGGTTAGATAAATAAATGATAACATGTGACAATAAAGTGTCAATGAATATATATTTATTTCTCTCCCTTTCCTCCGTACACAACTGTATTATCTAACTAATCTAAGCATGTGTAAACTTGTTTGAATTACCAATATTGCAAACATAGCAATTATGATATATCTAGAACTTGGTCCCATGATGACAATGACAGTGATCGCCGTTTTGAAATGTTCAACTCATGATAAGTACTATGCGTGATATACATATACATGTGGCAAAAGGTTCCAAACTGAAGATTTCATTTCCAACTGAATACATTATGCACAGTGTTGAATAACATATTTTTTTACAACAAATTTGAGATGAGAATTTCTGAGAATCTTGGAGAGCATTTTGGTTATAATAACACTGTCTGACCCTCTGATCCTGGGTACAGATGCACTGATGGAAATATTTAACATTACAGTTTGAGACCACTCATTGGTTTAGTTCGCACTTAAAGTTGGTCCCAAGGAAAAACATCCGTTCATTCATGACGATTCATCCTAAACTTCACAGCGGTTTCATTCATAGACACGCCAATATGATGAACTTCACACAACATGAAACCAGCCAATGACTGGTCCCTTGCAAGATCGTTTTTGTCGGACAAGCCTTTTGTGTGAAAGGCAAGAAGCAGAGTCATAGATGTCTTGATGCTTTAAGTGCTTGTTACTACATGAGATTGTTATTTTCACTGTTTTTCGTCATTTGTGATCATCCTCATCTTCCCAAGGCTCATTCCAGCTTGACTAGCGTGTTGATTAGTACCCATCTGAAGACCAATGACACTTTGGCCAGCTTTCAACTGTTCGTCCGAAAAGTCGCGCCTGTTTTCTTGTGCTTCCTTTGGTCCATGCCCAGCCTGAAATGATGAAACACTTTGTTGTAGTGTTTAAAACTAATACCCGCCTTCTTTACTAACAATATTAAAATCTTAGAAGCTTCATTGAAGGGAACATTAATGTCTATAATAAAAAATCATGTCTATTGTTTTACATTCTTTATAGACTCTAATGCATCTTGTGAAATACAGCAAAACCGACCAAAGAAAACGCAGTGACAAATATATCAAATAGCTGAAGATTCACTGAATTTGGTTTCACATTTTAACAGTTTTCCAATGGGAAACATTGGTGAAATTGGAATTTCTGATTGTAATCAAAGATTAGGGCATTATACCTTCCTTCCAACTGACTGCAGACAAATGACGACCTGGTTAAGGTTAACACGTTCTGTGAGGTCCACAGACTGGAATGACTCGGTGTCTTTAACGCCCATTTGTTTAAATACATCTACTGCTAGCTGGATAAGTTCCATCTGTTTGAAACTCAGTGTTGTGGACTTCAACTTCTTTGCTGGAATGCTCCCTGGCTTCAGGGCATTAGCAAGTCTGAAAGTCACAAAGTTGATCATAAAGCAATTGTTACGGTGTGATAAGTAAACAGTGTTATGGTTGTGTCAGTTTTAAGGAACATATTCCATGAATACATCATTGGTATCCTCTACGAATCTAAGCGATACATATATAGAGATCATGACCATACACATCCGTCTGATTTTACAAGAGACAATTGAATAACATTTTGTTAACGATACAATAAAACACACACAACACTATGATACATATCTTTCTGTTGATGTTGAATTGCATTCATAACCTAAGAATTCATTACTTTTTCTGCAGAATATCATCATCCGATGTGCCTGAAACTGTATAGTTGTAATGGCTTTAGGTTGGTTTGTTGTTTTACGCCGCACTCAGCAATATTCCAGCTATATGACGGCGGTCTGTAAATAATCGAGTCTGGACCAGACAATCCAGTGATTGATATCATGAGCATCGATCGACGCATTTGGGAAATGACTTTAGGAATCGATTGCATATGGTTATGGTAGTTGTGGTTATGTAATTCCTTAAGAGCGACGTGGATAGTACTTGAACCTAAAGAGGTTACTACCTATTTTCCCGAATTACTCGTGCCTAAAATGGTTTAAATGTATGGCTAGAATTCAGAATAAGCACAAAAGAGACACATCAGCCATAATACGTAGACCAGTACTCACTTTCCAAGTAGAACACCGTCCTTCAAGACCTCTTGGAAGTTGTCCATGTCCCCTGCTGTGTTGAACGACTCTCCCGTCATGCTGGCCACCCAGTTCAACATCTCACCAGCACACTCACTGTCATATTTCTTGTTAATCTGGAAGTGAAAATGTTCGTATTAGAAATGTTGAGTCATGTTTTGCTTTATGTTTTATCAATCCTTTTGGACTGTCAGACATATTTCTGTCCGGAAACATATTACATAGGTATGGAGCTCAGCACTAGAAATGTTCTGTATCCTCTATCCACTTTACTACTGTGTGAAACTGTGAACTGTGGTTAAAGCATTCGCTCTTCGCGCTAAAGACCTGGTTTCGATTACCCACATTGGTACCATGTGCATTTCTGGTGTCCCTCGCCGTAATATTGCTGGAATATTGCTTAAAGCGGCATAAAACCACACTAACTCACTATATGTGTTTATACAATATGTCAGTGAATGAGTATATGTGTATATACATCATTCAAGATGTGATGGAATAATGTCAATTTACATGACGCTCAAGCGTTCACATAGGCACAGGGAGTATCAAACGAGGAGTTCTGTGTTAAACCTTTGACACTCAGATGGGATGAGGCTTAATGGGTCTGCCAAGAGGCCACAACGACATGTCTGAACAAGCATGACATTAGCTGTTTCCTCTTGTGTACCTCACTGAGCGGTAAAATAAACACAGAAACAACCCCTCATCCGAGCAGAGCAAATAGCAAAGGATGGCTGTGATTCTACTGGGATGGGCTGAAGTCTCGAATGGTCTGACCTAACTTTGGAACGTCATGACACTTTGCTTGTTAAAATTAAGTATCAGAATGTTCCCAGTTTTCAACTAATACTTTGAGATTTTAACTGAGTAAGATGTTTTTAACATGCCTCTGTATTTACTGATATTCATACGCAGGTATATCACAAAATCCTGAATCAATAATATTTTTGGACAAATTCACCAGTTTAAATAACCCTTGTCATAAGTGGGAAATTACACTAATGGAGACGGGCATGGGTGATCCAGGTTAACATAAACGAGTGACATCCATCCTCCTCTCCGGACGTGAGCTACGTGATAAAGGTTAAGCCATGGGGATGCCAGTCTGTTGCTATGATTGGATATCTGAATTTGGGACGTTCCCAAAGAGACCATCTTGGGCTGGGGAATTATCTCGTAATCGCTTATGGGCTGAAAGTGGATAGATCAATAGACTGTGGGTCTGTTCTTGTCGACGATGGACATTGATCCGTGCTTGTTAAAGACCAACACAATCACTTGCACTGAAGAGACTGGAAACCAATGGCCTATGTTCAGTCAGGGGTTTATTGATTTGTCTGAAGCCTAGGACTCCCATGGCCCCTGGACAATTATGGGTGGATCTGTTCCCACCCTGTTCCACTGAAGAAACGTAATTTGGGAAATTCATAACTGTTTGGAGACTCGAACTGTACGGACCTATGTTCAACCGGAAAATATATGTGGCGCAATGGCTCTTGTCTGCAGGTGACCAAAGGCCTATCGCCTTTGTTATTGAAGAGTCCCGTGATCACACCAGTATTGATCGGTGAGAGAAACCGCTGACTCAGTATGTATCACCTACAAGGTGTAGTGAATGATTCACTGTTGCGCTGTCTCATCAATATTGTAACAGGTTGTGCCCTATAAACAATACATGAGTGACATCAAACGAAACAATTAATTATTTGGATGGAGTCATTCTACAGGAAATAATACCAATCTCAAAAAGCAAATCAGGTATATTTTCAAAACATTTAAATGACTACCCATACAAGTACAGTATGGTGCGAAATTCAATACATTTGGATTTTAAATAAGATGTGATTCTGCGTGTTGCTTATGTGCTTTAAAACTTTCGAGAGGTTTCCCTTTCCGTTCATCTATGTACATATATCCCTGACCTATGATTAATGATATTTCACGGTCTACAGAACACACACATGGAACATTGTTGAATCAGGTTTAAATGGTTTACAATATCATATGTTCCACAATATGATGATGAGTTCAAAGTACACAAGCCACCATTTTTTTAGGTCAGGTGAATAGTTCTCACAGGAAAAATAACTTCCCTCTTAAAAGGACATGAAGTCAAGTGAATATGTTAATATATTAACCCTTTATGTGCCACAGTTCGGACAAAGATTGCCTTTGCACATTGCAATGTTGTAGAACGGTGTTTACCCGTTGCTATTAGAGCATATAAAACACACATGCCTTTGGACTTCATAACTATCAGCGAGTGAGTTGAATTTAACATCGCTTTGAACACCGCGGGTCAGCTTGATATGGGAGGAGATCTCGAAGTGAAGAGGTCTTTGACGTTTACCACTTTGGTGAAACCCACAAGCACGGATAGTTTCTGACAAACAGTAACAATAAGGGCGAAATGGGATTCGAACTTGGAATCATTGTCTTTTGGATCGCGCCAGGGAAGCTACTCTGTACAAGGAACTTCTGTGGCTTAGACGACTGGACCACCCGTGCCCCCTCCCAACTATGAACCAAATATGCATGAACTATAGATATATGGAAACGTTGTACACAGAAACCATTTAGTTATTTGTACACCTACATTTACATTTACATTATCTTTGACGTGCAAAGCAAACATTAGGAATCCCTCCTATATTGACATTTTCATATTTATTGTCATTTATATGGCAAGATGCCGAGGAGATTGATTTTCAATTACCCTATAATTGAACGGGATAATAATAATACCGGGTTATTGAGTGGGAAAAGTGGCGTGTTAGACTCAGCACAAGAGGTCAACCAATCACTGTAAACCTCTTTATCAACATAGGTTAAACCTCAGTGCCCATTTCTTTACGACTTTGTGTCTCAAACATCCGATACCACTGGTAGAATGAAGTTGTTATATCTGGTAATAATTGCAGGGCTGTATCTCCTCAACAGTTAATTAATAAGACTTTCGCCAAGTACGAGTGTTCCAGATCATTAATAGCAACCGAAGATATTCCATTATAGACATGTAATAATATTGAACAACAAATGTGTTTTAAAATTGTCTGGATTACACTGAGCAGAAACACCGATGACAGAAACAGAACGGTAAACAAAATTACATTTCGCATGTCCACATTTCGGGGTCAAAAACCATGTCATGATATGACCATGTGTATACAAATGATTCCCAAACTTCCACGCAACAACACAAAAGACGGAAATGTGTAACTCATTTCCCTGTCGGCAAACACTTCGATAGTGACTTCGTCTCCCAACAATAAGATTGAACAAGGCATATCAAAGCATGAAATTTACAAAGTATCTTTTTTGGATGAGTAAAATGATCATCTGATCCGAAAGCGATAAAAAGCAATATGATCTTTGCTGCGTTTTATTATTGGGCTTATGCTAATACTTCTGTCTATAATAGTGTTCCTCCATGTGGCTCATGAGTTGCTTGCTTTGTTTGCCTACTTGACACGAGGAAGCCGTCAACTTAACGCGCGATATAGGAGACCTGCTGATTACTATCAAGGGTTCAGCGACACACCCTTGTGAAGACCTTTCGACTGATGCCCTGTAGTTTTATAACGTACTCTACAAATTCTTTGATAAAAGTTTCTGTATAAACGGTTTATGGAGGTATCAGTTTACACATCTGTATCTGTGGAATGCCACTAAATTAACCCATCTCCCCTGAATGGGTGATGTGGTTTCCCAAGGGTTAACAACCTGTGAGTCCCCCATTGTAATATGGCTGGAATGTTCTTAAATTCAGCGCTGAATGACCAGAACTCCTTTAAAAGGATCTAAATGCCCCCACCCCCCACCCACACACATCCACTCAACCAAATCCTCAAACATGCAGCTCCTTTCTGCATGTCCCATACACATGTATGGTAACTCACCGTTGAGGTTGTTGCTTGTTCAACTCCTACCATATCACACGTTGTCGTGCATTCGGTATTTCTAAATGGGTTTAGTATTGTATAAACTCTAGTGAACTTTATGATACATTATTAAAAGGCATGGAGGTGGCAACCAGTCGTGCGTTGAAAAGCAGTTAACCCCACACAAGCTAAGTGAAGTGAATGACACCCGTGTCACTGTTTCACAAATTATTTGTCCTCTGTAGAAGAAAAGGTGACATGATGGAAGAGCCACAGGAAATCTGGGATGAGGAGGCGACTGGAATACAATGGTTAAAGGATTGCTATTATGTTACAGAAGTAGGTGAGAGTTCTCGAGGCTGGGCTTAGACAAGGTTAGCGACTCTGTCCTATTCTTTTAACTATTCACACAATAAAGTTTAAAACATGTATGTGATAGTAATTTATTTGCGTCATATTGCTCGCATAGTTGCACACATTAGTTTCAGGATAAAGTAGACACAGTGTCGCCATACTTTGCTTTAAAACTAAGATAAATCCAAGCGTTAACCTCTCGATACCTGGTAATCCTATACAAGCAACATGCTGGAATCGTCTAGTCGAGCAAGCTAAACGTCTTTTGAAGGGTCTTTACATTGCGCTCAGTGTGAACATTTCAGTACGCAATATTGAGGACTAAATTATGCAGCTATTTGAAACATGACGCATGTGGAAGATGATGGATTCGGGCTGCGTCGACACTGAATAATGTTCCCAAGGCAGACTACCACGCGGTGTTCAGTGAATAGACAGGTAAACAGACAGTCAATATGCACTCTACAGAACCTGGTGTCCATAAGCTACTTTGACATGTAGCATACGTACCATACCTGTACGACACAAAATGTTATTAGAGTGTGTGAGAGTGGTTTTACACTGCTTTTAGCAATATTCCAGCAATATCCCCACAAGGTCACCAGAATGGGCTTTACATATTGCACCCTTCAGGGGAATCGAACACGGACCTTCGTTGGGGCCGGCAAACGATCACGTAAGACTATATTGTATTGAAAAGTTAATATGACTTGTGAACATGTTATTTCTTGTACCTTATAAATGTGTTGTCTATAAATGTTCAGTTCAACATTGATGACGTTTAAGTAAACATCAGTTCAGCAGCTTGATATCACTAGGGCAAGGCTATCAGCAACACAAAGGTGAAATCGTATCTGTAGTTGTGAAGGACGTTGTGAAGATGAATGTTCTTTACCCGACATGCAATAGTTCTTTAGCTTAGTTTGAAACGTGAAGCCGAACGGTTTCTTAATTCAAAAGGTATTATTTATACCTTCAATACTCTCACACACGCAGGTGTATGCTATGCATGCTCAGGGAAGTGGAGTAGTCGAGTGGTACAAGCGTTCGCACGTCAGGCCGAGGCCCGGGTTCGATTCACAATAAGGGTACAATGTGTGAAGCACGTTTCTGGTGTCCACCGTGATATTTCTAAACCATACTCACTCCCCACTTAGTGAATTTGAAATCACATACACGTTTATTGGTTGGTTGGTTTGTTGTTTGACGCCGCACTCAGCAATATTCCAGCTATATGACGGCGGTCTGTAAATAATCGAGTCTGGACCAGACAATCCAGTGATTAATATCGTGAGCATCGATCCACGCAATTGGGATCAATGACATGCATCAACCAAGTCAGCGAGCCTGACCACCCGATCCCGTTAGTCGCCTTTTACGACAAACAGTCACCTTTTACGGCAAGCATGGGTTGCTAAAGACCTATTCTACCCCGGAATATTCACGGGTATACACGTTTATTGTATGTAGTGAACCTGATATGTGCTTTGGTATACGTCCATACAGGATAAGGGTTGTAATGGTGATTCGTACAGTACTTCCTCTACAGATAACTGAATCTTAATCACACACCGACTGATAACCTAGTGATATCCACATCCACTCAAATAACACCACTGCAAGTAAGGGAATCTAGAAAGAGGCTCAACAACCTATTTTGTTCGAATAGTATGGTGCTGGCAAACGTAGGAGCATAATCAGATAAAAATTTGAGATTCGAACCCACGATCATAGGTAAAGGGAGGCAACTCTGCACAGACAGCGATTGCGTCACCCGTGCCCCTAGTTTTGTTGAAGCAGTAAATGGTGTTAATATGTAGGTAGAACAAAATCAATCGCAAATCTGACACTGGCTCATTTGATCGTTAATAAGGGGGTGCAAATAGATTACTTCAGCAAACATTGGATAAGCACTCGTGCACTGTTTAAAGGGTTAACGAAACGTGAAAGTACATATTCGTGTTGCATACGTTAAGGTGGATTTAATGTCAACACATGTCAAAAAGGAGGCGTCATTCCTCATCAACTATTTTAATGTAAGTAATATAAGCTGTTTCTATTTAAACTGTAGGTGTGTCCTATTTCAGAATTTGAAAACTTCTTCTTTGACAAGCGAAAATTAAACGGTTTACCAAGCGTTTTCATTTTGACTGTTTGAGTATCCACCTAAACACTGCAGATGTGTAAAATCAATTTCCGTGAACAAAATATGTAAACAGTGTGTTGGTTCATTGGTTTAGAGCCACATTATTGAAAGACCCAAGATCCCGTGAATCGCTACAGGATACAGCCGGTCTTGATAACAGCTGGAGAGGAATGCACAGCACTCTCCAACAGTCTGACCTACATGAAATATCTGTCACTTGGGAAAATAACACATTTAAATTTCATTTTTGTCATCGAGTCGTCCAATGTTTCTCACAATAAAATCTATAACCATCGCGGAAACAATTATACCACACTGACAACCTGTTGAATATTTAAAAAATGAAAGAATTATCATACCTTATCCTGTGTCTCGGCGCTAAGGCCTGATTTGTTGGCTCTGTATGACATCTTTCCTACGTACAGGTATCCGAATGATAATCAATGTAAGCACAAATAAACTTGACGTCCCAGCGCAAAAGTATCGTCTGCTCTGATCTCGCTCAGCTCGGCTAAATGTACAGACGACAATTTAGGCGCGCCAATGATTCATCAACGGTCACGTGACTAAACGTGGGACAGGCGGTTGGGGAACATTGGGAGGAGCCCTGACGGCAGAAAGACGGACGTCGCGCACTGAGATATTTCAATGCGGGCCCGAGTTGAATAGAACGGTGAGAAAACAAACCGTCACTGCGTCTAGAAGGTTCGTCCGCGCGCGGGTCACAACAATTTCCGCCGGCGTAGATATTCTCCATTTATGGTAGTATTGCGGTTTCCGATCAATGAGACACGCCTGTTATTGATTCCCGTGTTAATTGGAGTATGGCTTTTCTCGGTAGATACGCGTCATCATATTTATCTCATATTTCTTGATTATCTCACGTAAGGCTGAAAATATTCGCTTTGATTGTCACTGTCGGCTTGGGTCATTAACCCCTGATGTGTTAGGTGTCGTCTCCGTTTCATAAGGCAGCGTCTGGTTGCGAATATATCTACCTAAAGACTAATCACACACTTTGAGACAGTCACAAGCTTCGGGAATATGGCCAGGTTACATCATTAATTGATATAACTTCTTTGATAGACATTTAGATGTTGGAGTACTAAGTAAGGATAAGAATTTATGGATGAACAACTTCTTTTTACAATTAAGAGCTAATTAATTGTAACAAAGAAGTTCTTCATCCATAAATTCTTATCCTTAATTAATTTATATGTACGCCATTCGCATTTGTACTTTTCTGATAATAGTAACTTTCACAAATCAATACGTGAGGGGGGTGTAAGATTATTGACCCTAGACTTGCACAAGTCTCCCAGGCAATGATTACAAATCTTTGAGGAAAAGATTATTAGTTTAAATCATAATCCTTGAACTATATACTTAATAAGAACATGTTGTCAATATAGAAGACTAGCTTCCTCCAGACTTGCCTATCATGTTGACATAATAACTATACATCCCTGAACTTGGAGCAAGGATAAATTGAACCTTACCGTCGATAGAAATAAAATTATTCAATATATATATAAAAGGTCACTTTATGTCACTACGGGTTTTTATTAATGAAACCATTATCATTGTACATTTTCAGTTTTGATTTGCTAAGATTGCTGTTGTCACACTATTGTGTGAAGTTGTTAGGGTGACCCTACGTGACGTACTAATAACGATATTCGATTCGTGTACAGGATACTATCCTTCGGATGCCCCACCCGATGGAATGTACTCCATCCTCATGCTTGCAGATAATGGAAGTGTACACCGCATAATGATGCTGTTTCCGAATCAACACCATACACTATTATTACATACACACCAGCCAACACCCCACACATTACACTATTGTTACACGAGTCATCACTCGATACTTAACATAGTTAACGCCCACGGGAACATGATAATGCTTCGTGGATGGACTGTCAAGCTATGTTACATCTTCTCTGAGCATGCATAACATAATGGTGCAGAATAGAACTTATCCAGCCTCAAGGAAGAGGTTCTTTCAGTATAACGTTCTATTTTTTTCGTTATTGTCTTCTCATCTAACCCCTCTGCCTCCATATTTCCTCGTTCTATTTCAGTTCTGTCTTGTCACCCCGAATCCAGCTCCTTATCAATCTATCACTACAGTATGTATAAACTGCCGGGGAAATGAAAGTATACATTTATATTTAATAGTGGCTAAAACTGGAATTAAATAGTTATATTCAATTGTGATGTTTGTTTGTTTGGTTTTTAAAGCCGTACTAAGCAATATTCCAGCTATATGTAAATAATGGACCAGACAATCCAGTGACTGACATTATGAGCATCGATCCACGCAATTGGGATACAATGACATGCATCAGCCATATCAGCAACCCTGACCACCCGATCCCGTTAGTCGCCTCTAACGATAAGCATATGCATAGTTGCCTTTTACGGCAAGCATGGGCTGCTGAAGACCTATTCTACCCAGGATCTTCACGGGTCGATGTATTTGTTACGAGTGTCATGGGTGTGGTATGGACTTTACGTTTGCGGTGTAGCGACTACCGTTGTCAGTCTTGTAAACTCTTGACAACGTTTGTGTTTCATTTGTCAAGTCCAATTTTCAATTGCATCTCGGTACTTCTGCCTTCCTCCTCGCCATTACATTCTCTCATTCACACTCTCTCTATATATTCTCTCATTCACACTCTCTCTACATTCTTTCATTCACGCTCTCTCAACATTCTTTCATTCAAACACTCTCCACATTCTCTCATTCACACTCTCTCTACATTCTCCCATTCACACTCTCTACATTCTCTCATTCACGCTCAATCTACATTCTTCTAATCACACTTTCTGTACATTCTTTCATTCACACTCTCTACATTCTCTCATTCACACTCTCTCTACATTCTCTCATTCACACACTCTCTTCATTCTCCCATTCACACTCTCTACATTCTCTCATTCACACTCTCTCTACATTCTCTCATTCACACACTCTCTTCATTCTCACATTCACGCTCAATCTACATTCTTTCATTCACACTCTGTACATTCTCTCATCCACACTCTCTACATTCTCTCATTCACATTCTCTCTACATTCTTTCATTCACACTCTCTCTACATTCTCTCATTCAAACACTCTCCACATTCTCTCATTCACACTCGACATACTCTCATTCACACTCTACATTCTCTCATTCACACACTCTCTACATTCTCTCATTTACACACTCTCTACATTCTTTCATTCACACTCTCTACATTCTCTCATTTACACACTCTCTACATTCTCTCATTTACACACTCTCTACATTCTCACATTCAGACTCTCTACATTCTCTCATTCACACTCTCTACATTCTCTCATTTACACACTCTCTACATTCTTTCAATCACACTCTCTACATTCTCTCATTTACACGCTCTCTACATTCTTTCATTCACACACTCTCTACATTCTTTCATTCACACTCTCTACATTCTCTCATCCACACTCTCTACATTCTGTCATTCACACTCTCTACATTCTTTCATTCACACTCTCTCTACATTTTCACATTCATATTCTATCTGCATTCTTCACACTCTCTTTACATTCAATCATTCAAACTCTACATTCTCTCAATCACAGCCTCCCTTCATTCTCTCATTCACACTCTCTCCACATTCTCACATTCAAACTGTCTTCATTCTCTCATTCACACTCTCTCACTACATCCTCTCAATCACAGCCTCCCTTTATTCTCTCATTCACACTCTCTTCATTATCTTATTCACACTCTCTCTGCTCTCTTTCATTCACATTCTCTATACATTCTTTCATACACCCTCTACATTCTCTCAATCACAGTCTCCCTACATTCCGTCATTCACACTCTCTCTTCATTCTTTTATTCACGCTCTTTCTCCACATTATCTCATTCACACTCTCTCTATAATCCCTCATTCACACACACTCTACATTCTCTCATTTCTACTCTCTCTCTCTCTGTTCTCCCATTCACATTCTCTCTATCTGCTCTCATGCCTTCTCCCTGTTATTCTGTTATACCCTTCTCTCTAAGTTACTTTCAATCCCTCCCTCTCTACATCCTCTTAGTCCATCTCACTATTCCATCGTCTAACTTGCATAAGGTGTGATAATATTCTTAATACACATTTTTAATACAACAATCGATGGGAACAAGTCATAAAAACACAACAGCACAGGTACTTGTGCATAATGCACTACTCAACTTCGTAATATGAACGTGAAAACAGTCACTTTGTGGTAAAGATAATGTGCTGCCAAACTCACCCTGCCTCCATATACTCGAAAGATTTTGAAAGTGAAAGGCATTGATTATTATGACATGGCGGTGACATTGTGGTGAACACGGATATGTTTATACACATTGTCTCAAATAGCATATCCATGTAAGGCCATCGGCTGTGCACACAAGGCATCCGTGTAGTAAAGGGGACAATTAACAGATAACTCTTGACATTCAAGGATTAGATAAACAATGGATGTTACAAGACTGGGATTTGGTATAAGGATTAGATATTATTTCAGCTGCAGCTGCAAAACCATATATTTCTAGCATATTTTTTTGTAAATATTTCAAGCATTTACCCCCCCCCCCCCCCCCCCCCCCCCCCCCCCCACACACACACACACACACACAAACCCCACACACACTCTCCCTCCCCCGCGAATATAAAATGGTCGGTCCATAAAGCGGCTTATTGAAAACTGTGGCTTATCAACGGATATGTCAGAGGTTTACATCTAATCCAATTATTATATATACTGTAACGACATAATTCAGATTAACAGTATTTTGCGTATGTGTACGTCTGATCTTTTCCTGGCCAACACTTACACCCAACAAAGCTGACACTGTGACCTTTCACTTCGGTACATGAATCAAATAAAAGACTTAGCAGTAATGAAATTATATGTGCATATTTTTGCCAGGTCACGACTGATATAGAAGGTGACAAAGGTACAAGCCCACAAAGAGAAACTATTGTTGCAACAAATTGGGCGCACTGGATTAACTTTAAACCACAAGTGTTATCGGTCAATTCCAGACGCCCTGTATGTACCGGTCGCCGGAAATATGCTATAATGGATCGCTTACATATGTCCCTTACACAGGAGGAACTGTGGTTATGAGAAGTGCTAGATGATACCCCACAAGAGGGTTGGGTTTACAATGGGCTTCCATATCGCGTGAAATTCCTACGAGTGTGATAAATATGTCATTGATTTACGTCCTGCATGGATAACATTCCTAAAGCTTGTTTAAATTTATTCACAGAGTAGGCATTGGCAGAGGTTTTGGTGTGAACGTCACTTGTATGTGTCTATACCATAACAAGAACAGCGTATATCTACGCGTTTTTACACTGCCAATGCAGCTTAATCCCTCTGTTGTGTACAACAAAATGTATGTTATTACATCCGTGTCCGTACAACAAAGACGCAGTATGATTGTTTAATGCCACACAGTAAGGTGTAGAAATGATGCATGTGTACGGTGCTTATTTTATATGGAGAAATAGGGGTCTAATAGCCATCCTTGCTGAATACCTAGTATTGTTATAACTCATACTCATATAAAACGTTGCGTTTAACAAAGCCCGTTATAGTACCAGTTGATTACTATTAATCGCTGTATG